GAGGCTTTCCAGCTTGCTGTTGCTTAACCAAGCTGGAATGATCCACAGACTCTACCTCGGGGGATGGAAGTTCCAAGGAGCTGTCCAAAGCTTGCTTCGGGAGTTCGGTACTCGCTGTTATAGGTGAAACATTCTGAGAGGAATTTGTGGGATCGCTTTTCAGTTTTTTGCACTGGTCTTCCCTCTGAGATGGGGGACCCTGCAGAAAATCCAGCGGTAAGAAACGACCGAAAATCAAGACAAGGAATCCAGCAAAACAAAGAAAAACGAAAAGAGTAATCTCGTTGCCTTCCCATACCCTCTCCTCTGTACAAAACATTCAGACGGCATGCAATCTCGATCTTACTACCTCCGTGTCCTGTTTCTTTGTGGAGAGTCGAGGCTTTTGACAGTCGACACAGACAAATGGCTTCGACGCGTTACCTGCAACAATAGCGATGCATGACACAGAAAGAAGGGAAAAGAAGAAACGTACCTTGCTCGTCACTGCTACTCGGCTCCGGTCTCAAGCACTTGCTACAAAGCCTTAAGTTTCCGTCCATGAACTCCTGGACAGCATTCTTTTTCATCGCTTTCGGGTTCTTGGGTGATTGCGCTTTTCTGTGGTGTTGGTCGCCCTTGCCCGAATCCAGGCCAGCCTTCATCTTCTTCCTGCTGTAGTGCTGCTCCTTGACATCCTCCCTCGTCCTTTTGCTCTGCGAGTTGTGCTGCTGTTTGTCATCCTTGAGTCCCCGGAACTTATACTTGTGTTTGGTGTGCCTGATCACCTCAAGCTTCTTGCCATGCCTGTCCCTGCGACCTCCGCCCTCGTCATCACCCACGGGCTGGACATCCCCGTCGACGTTGGAGAGCTTGCATTCCTGGTGCTCCGCCTTTACCTTCTTGCAGCCCCTGGAAGGAGGGGACTCCTTGAGCGCTGGCTTGCAGAGCTCGAACAAGCAGGCCGTCTCGGTGCGAGCCTCGTAGTGCCAGTTTGGGATCTCCGTGTACTGGACGTGGAGCAGCTTTGGGACGTAGCCGGCGCACTTCCACAGCTGCTGCGAGAAGACGCTCGAAACACCAACAAAGATGGAGGCGTCTCCCCCGGGGGCGCCGTGCTCGTGGACTTTGCGCGGGACGGGCACCTCGCAAGACTGTCCCACAGCCGTGTCAGTGTTCATGATCCTGCCCAAGTTTCTCTCGTCAAAACTCACCGATTTGCCGGGGAGCTCCACCAGCAGTTGCGCCACCTCCGACTCCTCCCTCTCCTTGCGCTTCTTCTCCTTGCACTTGTCGCAGACGTAGGTGGAGACGGACTTGGAGACCTGGCAGCAGGAGGTGTGCACCCACACGCCGCACTCGTCGCACTCCACCATCTCCTCGCCATCGTCGAAGGTGACGCCGCAGGGGCAGTCCACCGTCCACGGCTCCTCGCCCCAATCCTCCGACTCGGAGCTCGAATTGTTGTGGCTGATGTTGCTGCTGCCCTTGTTGTTCCCCCCATTCTGGTGCTGCTGCGCCTGCGCCTGCGCATTGCTCGCGCCCATCGCCAAACGCCCCTGCCCAAGCCCTAGAAATCTAGGGCAGAAGGGAAGGAGGAAGCATATTCTTTCCGGGGGTCGAATATTTTCTATCTACGAATATCCGATCCTCGACGAATATTCTTTAGGTGAATCTTTTGAAACTATTCCTTAGGAGAATCTTTTCCGAATAATCATAGAAATGCTAGCGCTTGCCGAGTGTATCTCACTTCTGGCAGCTGTATACAAACAAAGGAGAGGATTTGTAGTAGCGATGGATGGGTGGAATCAAAGGGGAATCAAATGGGAGTGGGCGCGGGATATGCGCACTTCTTGGTGTCGGGGTCCCAGACCGCGGGGAGCAAAAACTTGCGGCCATTGATGCCATAGGCGTTGTAACTGGCGCCCGACTTGGAGTCCACGAGGAGCTCGCCGGGGTGCCCGGGGAAGGCGCCCTTGCCGTAGATCCCGGCGCAGGCGGTGGCGGCGCCCAGGTGGGCGTGGTGGTGGCCTTGGTAGTAGCCCGTGCCGTACGGATTGGTGGCGGCACCGATGAGTACCGTGGCGACGTTGATGAGGAGGCCGTCCATGCCCACGTCACCGTTGGGCGGTAGCAACGGCTCCTTGTCCGGCCCGAAGAAGTCGCGCGGATGGGCAAACGGCCACGCGCACCGCCCGCTGCACTGTACGGTCGAGTCGCCCACCCAGCCGTACGGCATGGTCGGGTCCTTGGCCGGCTCTAGGGTTTCGTTGGTGTGGCGGTGGTAGCCGCAGCTCTGCTGGCAGAATCCGTGCTCCGCGACGTCCTGCGATGGATGGATCGATCAGAGCGAGTTAGCGCGATGGAATCGAGCCCACATTGAGCCCACATTCTTACCTTGGCAGTGAGGACGAGGTAGAAGGAATCGGTGTCCATTGGGAATCTGCCCGAGAAGACGTTGCGCAGGATGAGCTCCTGGGTGCCATTGCGATCCAGCTTCTTGCCCATGGAGTAGTCGTCCTGGATTTCCTTGACGACCTTGATGGCCTCGAAGACGTGGGTGCCATTGCCATCCTTGTACCGCGCGGTAACCTCCCACCATTTGGACACCGAGGGCAGCGTTGGAGCTACATTGGCCGCCTTGGCATCGAAGGACGCGAAGAAGTCCCGGACGATGGATTTCTGGGCGGGCGTGAAGCTGCCATACCACACGAGATAGATGTCGAGCGATCCTTTCCCTGCTAGCAGCGGCCCGCCGTGGTAATCCAGGACGAGCGGCGTCTCGGGGACGAGCGCGCGCTTCAGATCGTGGAAGCCCACCAGGCGCGCCTCGCTGAGTAGCAGCGATGCGAGGATCAAGAGCAAACAGAGCAACGAGGAGGAGATCTTCATCCTCACCCAGCTAGAGCGTGGAATGGATCGAACGAAACCCACAAAGCGTCGATCGCTGGATCGATCGATCACGTCGAGGCAGTGGATTGATGGAACAGGGAAGAACAGGGGCTCTGTTTCTTCGCTGTCGTGATAAGCGAAGGGAGAGCTCAAGTATTTGTAGTAATGAGAGTGTGAGAGAGATGACAGGTCCGTAAAAATTGGTTTTTTATGGGGTTTGAGCACATGCCCTCCCTGCAACACAGCTTAAATGACTCGTTTGGAGGATCCATCCGCCATAGCCAAGTAAAACTCTGTAGGTAAAACCTTGGAATTTACGTCGTAGAAATTCTTACGCGGAGGAGCACAGCATGTGTGAGGACGTTACAACAGTCCCACAAACAACCAACCAAAATTTCTGTGTCTTCTTCGTCTTCGCAGTTTCTTCGTGCCCGTCCAACTCAAGTTATAACAAAGCGCGTGTGACGACGCGACTGGTTCTTCGCAAACAACGAATTTTAAGTCCCTTTCTCGTTTGATCTTCAAGTCTCCAGTCTTAAGAAAATCCTGCAAGAGTCTCTCCTCTGTTCTTAAACAACTTCGCTGCCACCGACCATACTCGCTCGCATGTGTTTACCACATGCTCTCCGCAGTTTTCTTTTCTGGATTTGCTTCGCCCTCGCCCGGTCGAGCTTTTGAGTGGATCCAAGTTGAGAGTGTCGAGTACCTTACGATTGAATGCGTTAGGAGGTTCCAGCTTTCGTGGTCCCACAATGAACGTCTCGTCGAAACGAATAGAAAGAGAAGAAAACGCAGAGAATGAATGAGAAATCAAGAGCTCCAAAAATACCTGTACGCTCTCTAGAAGAGAATGTAGCTATACACAGCCTTTGCCAAGTCGCAATGGCAAACTTTTATGATACACTTGCAAGTTACGACCTCACGTCAGCGAGCCTGGCCCTCAAAGCTTCCAGCTCTGCCTCATCGTCACCTTCTGCTACGGCTTGTTGCTGCAAATCAGATCGGAAATCGTTTTTTAAAACGAAAGAGATCCAACGTTTTTTTTTTTTTCACAAAAAAAGCACGGAAAGTTGCTCTTACCTGCGGTGGAGCAGCCTCGGCATCAGCAGGCTGTTTCATCTTTTCTCTTTTTGTTGTTGCTGGCAGCTGAGAGATTGTCTCTCCAGCAACTTCTGAAAGGACCTTGTCCACCTCCTCGTCAATCTCGTCTTCCATATCTTCTGTATCGATAGCACTATCTACAGCGTCATTCACAATCTCTTCGATTACTCCGGCCTGACCAAAAAAAAAAGCCAGTTTGATGTCATGCCATGAAAAAGAAAGAACAAAATATCCAAATACAGACCTTGAGCATTTCTTTTTGGAGCTCCATCATGGTTCTCGAGATCTCGGGTGCTTTCATAAGATTGTTTACCATCTTCAGAACCTCGGAACTTTTGGCCAGGTGCCCGACGGCTTTTGCCGTTGCTGCGAATGGCCAAAGAATTTTAGCAAACACGAAACCACGTGGAAGAACTTACCAACACTCTCTCCCAGATGCATCGAGATTGAATTGAGCTGAGCTCTGTTCTCGTACAACCGATCGATCACCTTTCTCGATCTCACGATTTCTTTGGCAAGAAACTGTCACCCGACACCGAAAGAATATAAGAATCTAGACAAGGAAAAAGTGAAAATGCGGCCTTGCCTTGGCAGATCCAGTGTCATTTCGTCGCACAGCCTCACGAATGGATTTCTGTACGTTCTTCTCTTCGCGCTGGATATCTGGAAACCAAATTCTCACGCAATTCAGCCAATCGCAGCAAGAATGCGGGGGAAAAACCCTAGAAGACGAGGGATCGTACCCCTGACCTGGCGTTCAACGTTGCGAGCTTCCTGGCGGAGGCGGCGCTGCCACTCGCGCAGCTGCTCCTGTGGCGTCGGCCTGGGCTTGAACACGCCCTTCACTCGATCCATCATCTTCCCTCGCGCGCGATTGCAAAAACCCTAATTTCGAGACCTAGATCTGCCAGCGTGGACGCGCTTTTTCCACGTGGCGGCCGCGCATTGGCCAGATAACCTGATGTGAATCTTCACAGGACATATATGCATGGGAATGGCATGTGTATACCATGGCATTCTTGTTGCTCGCTCGCTAGGGAGAGTTTATTTTAACCCTAGCGAGGGCAAAGAAGAGGAGAGAAGGCCGCGCAGCGCAGTGCTCGCGCATCCTCGCAGCTTCGCTCCATCCATGGCGTGCTTCTTGCTCGCAGCGAGCGCGCATTAGGTCAGAGATTAGGGCGCTGCGTCCATAGCAGTGGAGCGTTTCCACTGATTCTTGTCGCATTTGTAACATTTGATAGACTACACTCTTCTTGGGCTCGCATTGTACAAAAAAACTCGACTCGAGGTATGCTGCTCCTTCTTGCTCCTGTTTGGATCGATTCTAGGATATCTCTTGGAGAGAAGAAGAGAGGAGGATTGTTAGCTATCACATTTGTGTGTCTTTGGAGGATGAGAGGGAAAGAAATGATAAAACGTGTTCTAGTTTTTGGTAGTACTTTTACTGACAACTTTCGTGTAAACTGCTTGGATGCAGAGCTGGCGATGTCGCAACGCTGCCTAGAATTCGATGCCGAAGTTGGGAAAGAACCGCAAACCCCGAGCATTGCACCCAAGAACTCGGTGGCAGTACGCTCGCGCATGCCTTGCGGGATTGGGCTACACCTCAATAGCCTGGGTGGCTTCACAACGACAAAGCCAAGTGTGCGTGTCACGCAGCAGCAGCAGCAGTGTCAGACGAATGGTTCTCGAGACGTGCCCGCCTCCTCAGCCTGCTCGGCTGGATCGGAGCCGGTCATGTCGGTACTAGACAATTCTGGCGAAACGGATAACAAGGAACACAACGCTGCGGACAGCGGACAAGGCGACGAGTGCGTCCAGTCGTGGGGGACTTCCGCGGTCGAAGACTTGTCGTTCGTTTTCCATGAGGAAGTTAAAACAAAGAAATCTGGACGGAAGCGGTTGCTTATGGATCCAGATCCAGACGATGGAGATGACAAACATGCCGTGGTGAAACCCAAAAAGAGAAGGTAACTTGGACAGTTAACTCTCTCGCTCTCTCTCTCTCTCTCTTGGCTTTTCACTAAGCATTGACTGCAGGAGATCCAGTGCTCTTGATCCGAATTGCAAGCGCTGCAGCTGCAAGAAATCGAAGTGCCTCAAGCTGTACGTTAATTTTTTTCATCTTTTCTTCGTTTTTGTTTCTGGCCTCTGAAACGAGTGCATGCGTGTTTGGTGCACAGATACTGTGAGTGCTTTGCTAGTGGATCGTACTGCCTGGATTCTTGCGCATGTGGCAATTGCTCCAACCGGCAGGAACACGAAGATGTTGTTAGTGAGACTCGTCAGTTGATTCAAAGCCGAAATCCGCTGGCATTCGCTCCAAGAGTGATCTCTCCAGCCGAAGTAGTACGTGTATGTCAAGCATTTGTATCGAGTAATTCACTTATCTTTGTATGTGTATCAGCATGAAGCTCCTGCCGCTGCAGCCATTCCCGCTGCTACGTCCAAGCACAAGCGCGGATGCAACTGCAAAAAGTCCCTGTGCTTGAAAAAGTACTGCGAATGCTTCCAGGTTCGCTGACTTCTCTGCTTGATCTGGATTCCTATACTGACGGCAGTTTCTACTACTTGAAGTCCGAGGTCGGTTGTTCTGATGCATGCAAGTGCCGTGGATGCAAAAACACATTTGGTGCAAAGCAAGGTGATGATTTTTTTGTCGTGTGTATTGCCACTGTTAATGCTGGCACTTGACAGGTTCACCGGAGCTGCAAGTAAGTACATCAGAGGCTTCAAGGCAGGAGGTGGAGCTTGGCAGTGGCGACGATGGTTTTTTCAGGACGCCCCGAGCGTGGTAAGCATTGCAAAGTTTAACCTCGATCATTTTGTTTCCCCACCTTACCGCGATGCGATGCTTTTTACAGCCGGGCAGCGGGACGAGACATTGAATCGCCCGCCCCGCAGACTGGAGCGTCAGCATGTTCCAAGTCATCGTCCAATTTTTACACTCTGACCACCCCGCTGCACGAGAGATACGATGGCGATATTTCTCCTGAGTTTAGTGCCTCAAGGACGCCCTGCCAAAGGCAGCCGAGCAGGACCACTGCTAGTCAAGGCTACACGTCGGTGCTGACAGTTTCGTCCAGGGGCCGCACACTGCCACCGGGGACACATTCTTTGCAAAGCAAGACGCTAGACACAGTTTCGGCAGAGGAAGAAGACGACTTCCCGGATTTCCTCCTGGATCCATCCGAGGTTCAGTCAGCAACCGTGACAAGCTCACCCAAGAAGAAGCGGGTTACACCACCACAGGTTGGCGCCACCGCTACCACGACCACGACCAAGTTACCTCCGGTGCTTAAGAACGGGAGGAAGCTGACGCTCCAGGCCTTACCGTCACTCCCGCCGGTGTCTTCCATACGAGAAAGTTTCAGACCAAAGAACAAGTGAAGCGGGCTGTCTGCGTCGCGATGACACTTCTTTTGGGGGCCCAGCTCGGGTAGCTAGGTGGTCAGGAGTGGAGGAAGGGAATCCCTGAACGGATGGGCTTATAGCTAGCAGGGTATCAAAGGTTGTTGAGCACTGGAGAAGGAAAAAACGCAAAGTTTCAGGCTCGTGGCATTTGAAGACGGCGAGTTCCGCTTCCTACGGGCCGAACTCTCTTGGCATTATCGGCAACGACCAAGCAAAGCAGGGACAGACAGCAGCAACAGCAAATGGCCTTCTTTTATTCAAATGGACATAGTCAAGCCAAGCCATTGGACCCCGTTCGTCCACAACGCACGGCCCCTCTCCACTCCAGCTTGTTAGATTCGTTTTGGGACGATGTGGAATATTGCGGGGTCAGCATCAACCAGAGAACACTCAACGCTCTCTTCTTCAACTATATACAGAATGGTGAAGTATTAGCCACGAGCAACAAGGGAGTAAATGCCAACCGACTCGCCAAGCCCCACCTCGATCCGTGGCATCCAGCTTTTTTGGCAGACGCGGACGTGTGTGTGGAGGAGCTCTGTGCCTTAAAAAATATAGAGAGAGAGGAGGGGACGAAAAGAGGAGAAGCAAACATCACATCTGATCTAAGACTGCGGAGATGGGGTCGGAATCGGTGGGCTCGTCGTCATAAAAGTGTGCCAGTGACTTGCTGCTTTGCTGCTGCCATGACGCAGCGTCGATCTTGGTGTCGAGAATGGAGGAATCAAAGAAACACCACGACTTGAAAACGCTCCCTCCGGTTCCGGTGGGGGAGAAGATCCCGTCCGAGAAGCAGCTCCACGAGTCCGTCGTCTCGGAGCAGGACGATGGAGAGTTGGAGCTGCTGTTGTTGCTGCTGCTGTTATCGATCCAGAATGGGAACACGGACGACGCTGCCGTTTGCTGCTCTTGAGCTTGAGCTTGAACGTGAGCTTGGTGGTGGTGGTGGTGAGCTTGAGCTTGGTGGTGGAATGCCAGTGTCGCTGGAACGAAATTCATGCCTGCGTCGCAATGCTGCTGCTGCTGGTGGGGGCTGAGCGTGATCGGCAGCATTGAAAGTGAGAAGCTGTTCTCTTCCTCTTCGTTGTGTTGCTGCAGAGACTGCCTAAACCGGAAACCATTATCCTTGACGTGATTGTTGTGGAGCGAGTGACCCGAGACTCCAATTACTTCTCCCAGTTCCTCGGACGATCGGGCGACGCTGTCGGGGCCGGCTGCCATTGGCTTGTGAGTGTGTGGGTCGATACCAACTTGACGTAGCTTCTTCCGCAGGCACGAGTTCCAAAAGTTTTTAATCTCGTTGTCTGTTCGACCCGGGAGCTGCGTCGCAATTTGCGCCCACCTGTATGGAAACAATTCAGCATCAATCCAATGCTACATTTCCACACCAAATCGAATTCCAGCTCGCTCGAGCACACACCTGTTCCCAAGCACTGCGTGTAGCTTGACGATCAACTCTTCTTCCTGTTGCGAAAAGTGGCCCCTTTTCAAGTCGGGCCGGAGATAGTTGATCCATCTCAGCCTGCAGCTCTTCCCACATCTTTGGAGGCCTGTGACAATGCCACCAAGAATTGTGAGCTCACGAGAACTTGAAATTGAGGTACAAATACTCACCTGCGTGTTTCGGTACGATGCTCCAGCATTTGTGGCCATACTTTGTAATGTACCTCACCAATTTCTCATCTTCCTCTGGAGACCACAGTCCTTTGCGAAGCTTTGGCTTTGCAGAGGATTGGCTCCCCATGAATCGCCCCGAAGTGAAAAAAAACGTACACGCAAGCACACACACAACTAGAAGAGAGGGAGGGCCTTTATGCAGCAGGGACAGCAAAACACAAAGTTATTTAAGGGAAGAGCAGCACTCACACACGCATGGAATAATCTGTTCCAATGGCAGCTACTGCCCTGTGTGTAGGCCCGAGAGAGAGAGAGAGAGAGAGAGAGAGAGAGAGTATTACCCGGAAGAAACACGTCGGGATGATTTACTTTTTAGTTCAATCAGCACCATTGAGGGAGCGGTTGTTGCCTCGTGAGTAAATCGCGAATACACTAACATTGTCCTTTGTGGCGTGCCGGATAGATTAATCCAAGGACGATCGAAATTGGGCACTAGCTTGTACAATTCCCTAGGATTGAACGACCGTATGGAATGCCACCACCTTTTTCTATAAACACTTGTCGGTGTTCCATGGACGTTGATCGATCGACGTACGCCTTGCCCCGCCATGGTTTTAACGTCATATAAATCGTTGTGCGTTTGGACTAGAAGAATCTTGTACTGTTGGCTCTGTGTGTCAAGTAAAACATACCAGTGGGGAGAATTTAAAACGTGGCCTTTGAAAGTAGCGAGCTGATGGAGCTGTTGACAAGCCAACGCTTGCATACTTTTCCAAAAACATATCTAAAGTGTCTCTCCAGCACAGAAAGGTTGGGTTTGGTATGTTGTCACTGGAGCTTCTCAAATGTGAGAAAGACTGGAATTCTCGCAATGTCCACTCACACTTCCCCCACGTCGTGAATAATATGCTATAGCTTTTTGATTCGCACCAGAATCTTTCACAGGATTCGGATGAAAATACCATACCTTGATAAATTAAGTGTTCGTTTGTTTGCCAGAACACTCAAGCTTGCTCTAAAAAAACATCCGGGTCTGCAGCGACGGGAACACGGAGGGACAGCTCATCGAGACGGACAACCAAGTTTAGAGCACGCCGAACTCACTTCGCTTGAACGAGCCGCAAGCTTTCTGTAATCTAGAAAAACAATATAAGCATCTGTCCAAAATGCTGTCCAAAATGCCAAATACCTGGTCTTGCCAATAATCTTTCATCTCCAAGCCTTGGTTGAAAACCAGGAACAGTTACACGTTGATACGGGTTGAGATAAAATCCTTTGCTTGAGACAATCACTGTGTCGCTGTATGTCACCTTTAGTATCCAAACCATAGCAATCACAGGGGGAACATCGAAGGTGGTCCCGATGGCCCAAGCAATCTTGATGTCTGAAAGGCCACTTCAGAATGGATGTGAAGGCACGCGACGGCCATCTACAAACACGCAGACGGAAGATGGCTTCAATCAAATGCGTCTGAGAAAAGTTCAGGTACCTTGGCACAGTCGGGATCTGGATCATGGGAGGCAACTTCAAGACACCATTCGCGGATCCACTCCAGACCTTCGGTAAGAGAAGCATCCAGTGCGGCTACATGTGAAGGACTAAGTGCTACCAAGACACGGGAAGCAGCAAAGAGTACTGCTCTTCTCACATAAGGTTCCGGATGCTTGAAGATGGGCCTGAAAAGAAGACACAGTTAAACTAAGTTGTTGTAAGAAAAAAAAAACCAAAACGTACCGAGATCTCAGCATTTCAATAAGCCCGGCACCTAACGCCGGTGAATCCGGCTGGAGAGACAGACACTGCATGCAAACACCCAGCATCATTATAAGTCTCGCAAGGATAATGAAGTCTGTCCCCATTATGTCGAGCCCACTTCTTTTCTTGTCGTAATCTCGCATTACCGGCAGCATGAATGCAGTAGCAACCGGAGCAAATCTGTTTCTTCTATAACTACAAGACTCGCCTCCTCCTGTCTTCAACCTTTCCACTTGGAGCTCAAGCGACCGTTTACCCCACCGGCGAGATTTCCCAAGCTCTTCTTGTCCGGGCCGCGGTGGGAGTTCCCTCTCGTACGTCGGTCCCCACGATAGCAAAGAATCGCCCGACAATGGACGCGACACCTCTTTCCAAGGCCCTGCCGCTCGAGTGACTTCCTTAGGCTCCGCACCATTCGCAAGCTCTTGCGCTGCATCTGGAAAAAAGTAATGACATCAGGATAAACGCTTGCATAAGTACTTGCCCGCTAAAACATCCAGGATCATAAGCCGTTGGCTCATGTCAACGTGAACTGAGTAGAGCTCTTTTGTTAGAACACCTGCACTGGTCAGTGGTGCACAGACCAGCAAAGCCATAAGTGCACGATGCCGTTTGACTTCCACTGTATCATCCGCGGCGCTACAACGCACATATACTAATGCTTGGACCAAATCTGCCGCCGAGTTCTCGAGTTCGTCAGGCATTAGCCTGACGAAGTTCTCACACACATCCAGAGCTCTTTCGATCTGCAAGTTGTATATCAGCTAAAACAAGCAGCATAGAAACCAGAACACTTACTGCATCCGGATCGTCTCCTTTTCTCAAGCTCGCAGCACAGCTACTCAGCTGTGATGGGAATTTTGCTTTGTCAAGATCGGCCTCGTCATCAGACATGTCATATGGCTTGAGAGAAGCCTCACTTTCGCTGTCCGATTCTTCGTTCCCGCCAAGGTTTGCCAGATCTACCACAGCATCCGGATCATCCACTTCCACTGTAGTTTTGGCCTTCACCTGCCTCGCAATACCATCGTTCCCTGCTTCAGGCGCATCAGCCAAAACCTTCTTTCCCGAATAATCTGGAACATCCCAGTTTTGAAGATCCTCGATATTGTCTTCGTCGTCTAGAAGTAGAGGGTTATCTGGATTGATCACGATAGAATATACGAGAGCAATTTGTTTTGCCATCCGGCGAATTAGTGGAAATGGGCTGTCCAGCCTTCCTATAGAAGAGCACCGTGAGAAACACCAAACAATGAAAGGCTATGTAGTGTTTACTTACTACTAACACCGTCAAGAATAAATTTTAGAAGACTGTCAGTTCCTGAAATCTCCTCTTTAGTCATCGCTTTGATGGAGATACCTAGAGCCGCGGTCACATCTGATAGTGGTTTGTCAATACAAAGACGAGACTGAACCTAGAAAAACATACATGCTTGGCGGTCGTTCGATGCAGACTGGATGTAATTTTTTTCTGCCCAAGATTCTGCTAGAGATCTTGCGATATCTTTCTGAATGTTCTTTTCCTCGCCGTGCTTGCAAAGCACTGAGAACGACAGTATGCAATTCAAAATACGCAAAGGAAACACTTTCCAAAGTAAAAACCTGTCAGTGAAAATATTTCTGCACGCGCAATAGAAACCTTCAGTTCCAAAACCTGGTGTAAGAAAATCGTAGCTTACCTCACACTTGCGTGCGAAAGCGGGTCTCCGAATAACGAGTGGAGTGTAAAGTAAGCATCTTGTTCTGTCACATAACAGTCGTTTAGTCTGTACAATACAGCTTCCGCCATCCGCTCGAGAGCATAGAAGTCTTTCATGGACAAAACTACCCCTTGCCAGCATGTGATCTCCTTGGGAACTGTTTTCAACGTTTGAACAAAGTGTGATAACTCGGAAACAAATTTCGCAGCCACAACATCTGCAAAAGCCAAGACCGTCGACAATAATTGTCCAAAGTGAGTCTTACCAGCGTGACCACGCCTGCAAAGCTTGTTAAAAAGCTCCCCTATAAACAGAAACTTCCCCTTGGCGAGGCTGTCGGTTGAACCATCCCAGCCCTCCTTGGCAGCCGAAAGAATTTGGGACACCACGGAGCTGAGAAATGATCTGTGGCTCGAGTTAAGAATTCGTAACGTAGACAAAACAACAACACCAATGTTTCAAGGATACGGACTGTGAAGACTCGCAGGAGCCTTTGGACGCACCCTGTCAGGAACAGATGAAACAAGCTGCGCAACTTGTGTGATGCATTGAAGCGACGGCTGTCCAGCCTCAGCAAACTCCTCCGCTATGTTACGCACTCCTGGATTCTCCACAAAACACTTGATCAATAGCCTGAAAGTTCACCCAAGTTGTCAGGCCTCAAGGTTTCGAGCTTTTTACCGTTCGGCTTGGATGCACAGAACGTTATCAAACTCACTTTCGAGAGAATGTTCCGTACCAAGTGCCGGCACCAGAGCCATGAGCACTTCGCTTGGACGGCCCGCCAGGAAAAAATCATCAAAGAGCGAGCTTCTTTCACTCTCCGTGAGACAGGCGATCCAGTCGGGTGCCACCTCTTGAAGAAGCGGAGTCAGCATTTCATTGCCGAGAATGAGAATGAGGCAGCAACTTACTGTAAAGAAGAAACTTGGCCACGATTCCAAAACATTCTGGCTCGTGAAGCACATTTTCTCCTTGTCCTCGTTGCTTGCAAAGATCTGCAAGCTATATGACGAAATATCACTGTAATACCGCAGAGATATCTTCGGGATATATCATACCTGAGCGATATCTCCAATCTTGGAAGAATCTGCTGAACACAAGCAGCATTGCGATGTATAATCCAGGCCAAACGAACCTTGACGATCGCCGAAGACGACCGATCGCAGCACGCCGAGAGCCGCCACGACATCGTCCACGGCGCAATCGCGCCTGGCGAGGAGATCGCCGATCGCCCTGGCGAGCGCGAGCAGCGACGACGACATTCCTTCCTAAAACCCTAGAACTCACGAGAAGGAGAAAATATTTTGTTTCGAGGTCCCAGTTTCGAATCCCGTCCACTTCGATTTCCTCTGACAGGGCATTGACGATGTATAGGTCGTCGGACACGACAAAGGCAAGCATCACCAACGCTAGAAAATGTTGACCAAGAAATGAGAAAGAAATTTTTTTGGTCGCGCTGGAATGGATCGATCCGAGATAAGCTCGGTAAATAATAGAAGCCCTTTGCTGGGACTTGCCAAATAAATAGGAGCTTCCCAAAACACTTTGGATTCGATCTGGGAGAGTGGGAGCTATGGCGGGCGGAGGAGTCCAAATGCTCGCTCCCGGATCCAGAGCCGCCGAGTACAAGGGCCGAATGACCAGTTACGTGGTCTTCGCGTGTATCATCGCTGCGACTGGAGGATCAATCTTTGGCTACGACATCGGGATCTCGGGTAAGATCGATCGGTCATACGTTTTCGAGGTGGAGTTGGAATCGGATCTCATGGGAGCGCTGGCAATTTGGCAGGAGGAGTGACCTCCATGAACGATTTCCTCATCAAATTCTTCCCGGTGGTGTATCGCAAGAAACTGGGGCTCATCCGCGAGGACGACTACTGCAAGTATGACAACCAGAAGCTCACGGCCTTCACATCCTCGCTCTACATCGCGGGCCTCACGTCCACATTCGCCGCCTCCTTCACCACCCGGCGCTATGGCCGCCGCCCCTCGATCCTCATCGGCGGCATTAGCTTCCTCATCGGGGCGGCGCTCAACGCCGGCGCCGAGAATCTGGAAATGCTCATCCTGGGGCGGATCATGCTGGGCGTAGGCATTGGATTCGGCAACCAAGTAAGCTCGATCGCGATGGGTTCTCCCCGATTTTGCTCCATCGATCGACCCATTTGAATCTTGATTCCAGGCAGTTCCTCTCTACTTGTCCGAGATGGCGCCGGCGAGGATGCGAGGAAGCATGAATCTACTGTTCCAGCTCGCCACCACCATCGGGATCCTGGTAGCCAACGTGATCAATTTCTTCACCCAGAAGCTCCATCCCTGGGGCTGGCGATTGTCACTGGGATTGGCAGGGGCGCCGGCATTGGTCATGACAGTGGGAGCTCTCTTCCTCCCGGAGACCCCCAACAGCCTGGTGGAGAGGGGACTGATCGATCAAGGGCGAAACATCCTGGAGAAGATCCGCGGCACCAAGGACGTGGACGCGGAGATGGAGGACCTGATCGAGGCCAGCGAGACCGCCAATGCCGTCAAGCACCCCTTCCGCAACATCCTCAAGAAGAGGAATCGCCCCCAGCTGGTCATGGCCATCTTCATCCCGGCGTTCCAGCAGCTCACGGGCATCAATTCCATCCTTTTCTACGCGCCCGTGCTGTTCCAGAGCCTGGGATTCGGGGATAACGCCGCGCTCTACTCGGCTGTCATGACCGGCGCAGTGATCACGCTCGCCACGCTCGTCTCCATCGCTCTGGTGGACCGCTGGGGTCGCAGATTCCTCTTCCTGGAAGGCGGCATTCAAATGATCGTCTGCCAGGTAAGTTGCTCAAGAACCCTAAATTTTAACTTGGATGATCATCGTGGTTGTGGTTCCTTGGCAGACGACCATTGGCGTGATCTTGAAGGAGAAATTCGGGGGATCCAAGCAGCTGTCCAAGCCCTACTCCGTCACAGTAGTGACGCTCATTTGCACGTTTGTGGCGGCGTTTGGGTGGTCGTGGGGGCCGCTTGGATGGCTCGTCCCCAGCGAGATTTTCCCGCTCGAGACGCGATCAGCGGGGCAGAGCATCACGGTGTCGGTCAATCTCTTGTTCACGTTTCTGATCGCGCAGGCGTTTTTGTGGCTGCTCTGCCATCTCAAGTATGGAATCTTCCTGCTCTTCGCGGCGCTGGTGACCGTCATGACCATCTTCATCTACTTCTTGCTGCCCGAGACCAAGAATGTTCCCATCGAGGAGATGATTCATGCGTGGAGGAGGCACTGGTTTTGGAGCAAATTTGTGGGCGGATCTAGCTTGGCTCCTCAGCCTGTTCAACCGCTAGAGACGATCAAGCCCAAAGACAAAGATCGTGACGACGGAACGAGTTAAAATGTTACTGCTATCTTGTGTAATATCTTATGCTGTTTCGTACAAGGGTCTATCAACAGAAAAAGGTGGCGGGAGTGGCGACGACATTGATATGAAAATATTTCTCGCCCAAGTCAACGTGGTTCGCTGACCCACGCAAAGATGCTGATTCGTTCGTACGAATCACGCGAGTCGTGTCAACGGATATGTCCAGCTTCTAAAAAAATCTCAGCCTTAATGTGGATGTGATCCTATCCAAATCCATGGAATTCGGATATAAATGGCCAGCTTTTCCACTGCCGATCATTCAATAACCTAGCTTTGCTCTCGTCTCTCCGTCTTCTCTTGGAAGTCCAAGCATTTTTCGATTGATCCATGGCGGTAGGCGGTGGAGTCGCGAGCGGTGGCAGCGCGAGGGCGGATCTCTACCGCGGCCACACGACCAAGTATGTGATCTTGGCGTGCATTGTGGCTGCCAGCGGAGGCTTGATCTTTGGCTACGATGTGGGCATCTCAGGTAAGTTTGCGCGATCATCATGGTGGCTTTCTCCTCCTCTCCGGCTCTAAACTTTGCTTGTATGATCCATCCAGGTGGTGTGACGTCCATGGACGATTTCCTGGAGAAGTTCTTCCCGGGTGTCAAGAGGCACAAGGACCTTGCCGCCAATGGCGATTCCGATTACTGCAAGTATGACAACCAGAAGCTCCAGGCCTTCACATCGTCGCTCTATCTCGCGGGCCTGGTTGCGAGCTTCCTCGCCTCGCATGTCACCAAGAAGTATGGACGCCGCCCATCCATCATTTGCGGAGGTCTCAGCTTTTTGGTTGGCGCAGTGCTCAATGGCGCTGCCGCCAATCTGGTCATGCTCATCCTCGGCCGGATTATGCTGGGTGTTGGCGTGGGTTTTGGCAACCAGGTAACCGATGGATCATATACAACCACCAAAGACAACGTTTTGATCATGTCCTTTCTTTCTTTTCCAGGCAGTGCCAGTCTATCTCTCAGAGATGGCACCCGCGAAGATCCGTGGCGCTCTAAATATCATGTTCCAGCTCGCCATCACGATTGGAATCCTGTGCGCGAATCTTATCAACTATGGAACCGCTAAGATTCCTGGCTGGGGATGGCGCCTCTCGCTTGGTCTCGCCGGAGTACCAGCCATTCTCATGAGCGTGGGTGGTCTTTTCTTGCCCGAGACTCCAAACAGTTTGATCGAGCGTGGACGCTGCGACGAAGGTCGCCGCCTCCTCGTCAAGATCCGCGGCACCGAGGAAGTGGATGCCGAGTATGAAGATATCAAAGAGGCGAGCGATCTCGCGGCTGCCATCGCTAGCCCCTTGAAGAACATTTTCGAGCGGAGGAGTCGTCCCCAGCTCATCTTGGCGACGTTGATCCCATTCTTCCAGCAGTTCACGGGGATCAACGCTATCATGTTCTATGCCCCGGTGCTCTTCCAGACGATCGGATTTGGCAGCGACGCATCGCTCTACTCGGCCGTGATCACCGGCGCTGTCAATGTCGTGGCTACCCTCGTCTCGATCGCGCTTGTCGATCGGTTGGGCCGCCGCTTCTTCTTCTTGCAAGCTGGAGTCCAAATGTTCGTCTCACAGGTAAGCAGCATGCTTCTCTAGATCGATCGAAGTTCTCATTCTTCCTTTCTAAATCCATAGGTGGTGGTGGCGGTGATCTTGGGCGTCAAGTTTGGAGGAACCAAGGAGCTGGACAAAGTTTACGCTGTGATCGTCGTGATCGTGATATGCTGCTACGTCTCTGCCTTTGCCTGGTCTTGGGGGCCCTTGGGCTGGCTCGTTCCCAGCGAGATTTTCCCACTGGAGACGCGATCGGCCGGGCAAGCGATCACGGTGGCAGTTAATCTCTTCTTCACCTTCGTCATTGCCCAGGCGTTCCTCAGCATGATGTGCCATATGAAGTTCGGGATCTTCCTGTTCTTCGCGGCCTGGGTGGCGATCATGTCAGTCTTCGTCTTCTGGTTCATACCCGAGACCAAGAACGTTCCAATCGAGGAGATGATGGGTGTGTGGAGAAAGCACTGGTTTTGGAGGAGGATTGTCCCGGACCAAGATCCTCCGGTTATCCCATACAAGCAGGATGATGAAAGCAAGATGGGCGTAGAGATGACAAACTAAAGATCACTGAGTGAGAAGAACTAAGTAGGATGAAGACTAAAAAATGTAAAAATCTATCACTCTCAACTTTACGGCTAAGACCAACACTCAAAAACGCTAGAAACTTTCATACCGTGTTGTCTGGTAATGCGGGACAATCCGAGGATTCTGGCTCGTTCTGGAGGTCTTCTTTGTCCTACGTCATGATATATTTCAGTGAACTCGGGTCTACGAAGCTTGCTACTCATACCTCGAGATAATCTTTTGCCCTCGGCTCCTCCTGGGACTCGCTATCTTCATCGTCCTTGTCCTACGCACCTCGGTCAATTTCACTGCACGAGGAAGATGGAAACTGTCCGCTGACTCAAGTAGATCCGAAGTCTCTAGCTCGTGGTTGTCCTCCTCCTACACCAAAGAAAGTTCTTGCACGAGGAAGAAGAAGGATGGAAATCTAAGAATTTGCCGCCATGGTCACGGCGACACAAAGAAGCACTCAATTCTACGCGAAGACTAGTAACACGATCAAGCCGCCGATCGATCGAGCTGGGAGATCCCTCTTTGGAATCTATGGCCGGAAGGAGAATTCGTGCAATGGCGAATGGTGGCGGCTTGACAACCGAGCTCTACAAGGGACGGACAACGTCTTACGTGATCCTCGCTTGCATTGTGGCCGCGTGTGGAGGCTTGACCATTGGCTACGAAATTGGAATCTCAGGCAAGACCAGATTTGTCATCGATCTATCGCGAATTTCCTTCGTTTTATCACAGGTGGTATGACATTCATGCCCGCATTCTTGGAGAAATTCAATTTCCACAGCCGTGACGACGACTCTCCATTCTACTACTGCCAGAATGAAGATAAGCGACTCATCATCTTCACGTCCTCGCTCTATCTCGTGGGCATCGCGGCCAGCTTGCTGGCCTCTCACGTCACGAAGATTTACGGGCGGCGGCTATCGATCCTCTGTGGAGGCCTCTGTTCCCTCGTCGGTGCCGTGCTCAGTGGTGCCGCTCAAAATCTAGCCATGCTCATCTTGGGACGAATCATGCATGGCATCGGCCTTGGCTTTGGCAATCAGGTGATTGGATGATCGGTTCGCAACAAAAAACGATTTGATTCCTCGAATGCTCTGTCCAGGCAGTGCCGCTCTATCTTGCAGAGATGGCGCCGGCAAAGATCCGGGGAGCGCTCATCATCATGTTTCAGCTCGCCATCACTATCGGGATCCTCTGCGCGAATCTCATCAACTATGGCTCCCTCTGGGGCTGGCGCCTCTCCCTTGGTCTCGCCGGAGTACCAGCCATCCTCATGACCATGGGCGGATTTTTCTTGCCCGAGACTCCAAATAGTTTGATCGAGCGTGGGCGTTACGAGGAGGCTCGCCGCCTCCTCACGAAGATCCGCGGGACCGAGGAGGTGGATGCCGAGTACGAAGACATCAAAGAGGCAAGCGAGCTCGCAGTGACAAACCCTTTCAAGGCCATCTTCCAGAGAAAGAATCGCCCCCAGCTCGTCATGGCGACCATGATCCCATTCTTCCAGCAGTTCACGGGGATCAATGCGATCATGTTCTACGCCCTGGTGCTCTTCAAGAAGCTTGGATTTGGCACCGATGCGTCGCTCTACTCAGCCGTGATCACTGGCGCTGTGAACGTCATGGCCACGCTCGTCGCCATCACCTTCGTTGATAAGTGCGGCCGCCGCGCGCTCTTCCTGGAAGCTGGAGTCCAAATGTTCTTCACCCAGGTGAGAGATGGATTGATTGCTTCTCTTTCTTGATCCATCGACTAAAACTCTTTGCACGATCATAGATGGCGATTGGGTTGATCTTTGCGATCATTACACCATTGTCCAAATCTTTTGCCGTGATCGTCGTGATCATGATTTGCATCTACGTCTCATCCTTTGCATGGTCATGGGGGCCGCTGGGATGGCTCATTGAGATCTTCACACTGGAGACGCGGTCCGTCGGCCAGGGAATCAATGTGGCTGTCAACTTCCTCTTCACCTTCGTCATTGCGCAAGCTTTCCTCGCAATGCTATGTCACATGACGTACGGAATCTTCTTCTTCTTCGCAGCTTGGGTGTTGGTCATGTCCCTCTTCGTCTACTTCTTTCTTCCCGAGACCAAGAGCATTCCCATCGAGGAGATGACCAGCGTTTGGAGGAGGCACTGGTATTGGAAGAGGTTCGTTCCAGACGAGGATCCTCCAGCTCTTCCTTCCTATAAGTGAGATCGGTACTGATCAATCGAGCTAGACGATAAGCGAGGAGCTTTCACTGCCGAGAGGAAAAACTGTCTAGTACCTCTTGGAAGGAAAAGCAACTCTTCTGTTCTCTGTGAAACCAAAACCTTATATTGATTGTAAGCTTTTGAGTAGAAAAAATTACCACAACGATGGCATCAAGAGGCTTCCTTCCTTGACGAGCAAGAAGACGCGCCCTCCATCGCCATGGGAGATTCGCAGGTCCTCGTCCAAGTAAGTGGTGAGCAGCCACGACTGGGCCGCCGCTTCTTCTTCTTGCAAGCTGGAGTCCAAATGTTCGTCTTAAGCAGCATGCTTCTCTAGATCGATCGAAGTTCTCACTCTTCCATTCTAAATCCGTAGGTGGTGGTGGCGGCGTCAAGTTTGGAGGAACCAAGGAGCTGGACAAAGTTTACGCTGTGATCGTCGTGATCGTGATATGCTGCTACGTCTCTGCCTTTGCCTGGTCTTGGGGACCCTTGGGCTGGCTCGTTCCCAGCGAGATTTTCCCACTGGAGACGCGATCGGCCGGGCAAGCGATCACGGTGGCAGTTAATCTCTTCTTCACCTTCGTCATTGCGCAGGCGTTCCTCAGCATGATGTGCCATATGAAGTTCGGGATCTTCCTGTTCTTCGCGGCCTGGGTGGCGATCATGTCAGTCTTCATCTTCTGGAGACCAAGAACGTTCCAATCGAGGAGATGATCGGTGTGTGGAGAAAGCACTGGTTTTGGAGGAGGATTGTCCCGGACCAAGATCCTCCGGTTATCCCATACAAGCAGGATGATGAAAGCAAGATGGGCATAGAGATGACAAACTAAAAATCATTGAGCAAGAACTATAGAACTAAGTAGGATGAAGACCAAGAAATGTAAAAATCTATCACTCTCAACTTTATGGCCAAGACCAACACTCAAGAATTCGCCACCGTGGTCACGGCGACACAAAGAAGCATTCAATTCTACGCGAAGACTAGTGCCAGATCGATCGGGAGATCCCTCTTTGGAATCTATGGCCGGAAGGAAAATTCGTGGAGTTGCGAATGGTGGCGGCTTGAGAGCCGGGCTCTACAAGGGACGGACAACGTCTTACGTGATCCTCGCTTGCATTGTGGCCGCGTGTGGAGGCTTGATCTTTGGCTACGAAGTGGGAATCTCAGGCAAGACCAGATTTGTCATCGATCTATCGCGAATTTCCTTCGTTTGATCACAGGTGGTATGACATCCATGCCCGCATTCTTGGAGAAATTCAATTTCCACAGCCGTGACGACGACTCTCCATTCTACTACTGCCAGAATGAAGATCAGCGACTCACCATCTTCACGTCCTCGCTCTATCTCGCGGGCATCGCGGCCAGCTTGCTGGCCTCTCACGTCACGAAGATTTACGGGCGGCGGCTATCGATCCTCTGTGGAGGCCTCTGTTCCCTCGTCGGTGCCGTGCTCAGTGGTGCCGCTCAATATCTACCCATGCTCATCTTGGGACGAATCATGCATGGCATCGGCCTTGGCTTTGGCAATCAGGTGAGTGGATTATCGGTTCGCAACAAAAAACGATTCGATTCCTCGAATGCTCTGTCCAGGCAGTGCCGCTCTATCTATCAGAGATGGCGCCGGCAAAGATCCGGGGAGCGCTCAACATCATGTTTCAGCTCGCCATCACTATGGGGATCCTCTGCGCGAATCTCATCAACTATGGCTCCCTCCAAATCCGGGATTGGGGCTGGCGCCTCTCCCTTGGTCTCGCCGGAGTACCAGCCAGCCTCATGACCATGGGCGGATTTTTCTTGCCCGAGACTCCAAATAGTTTGATCGAGCGTGGGCGTTACGAGGAGGCTCGCCGCCTCCTCACGAAGATCCGCGGGACCGAGGAGGTGGATGCCGAGTACGAAGATATCAAAGAGGCAAGCGAGCTCGCAGTGACAAACCCTTTCAAGGCCATCTTCCAGAGAAAGAATCGCCCCCAGCTCGTCATGGCGACCATGATGCCATTCTTCCAGCAGTTCACGGGGATCAATGCGATCATGTTCTACGCCCCGGTGCTCTTCCAGAAGCTTGGATTTGGCACCGATGCGTCGCTCTACTCAGCCGTGATCACTGGCGCTGTGAACGTCATGGCCACGCTCGTCGCCATCACCTTCGTTGATAAGTGGGGCCGCCGCGCGCTCTTCCTGGAAGCTGGAGTCCAAATGTTCTTCACCCAGGTGAGAGATGGATTGGTTGCTTCTCTCTCTTGATCCATCGACTAAAACTCTTTGCACGATCATAGGTGGCGATTGGGTTGATCTTTGCGATCATTACACCATTGTCCAAACCTTTTGCCGTGATCGTCGTGATCGTGATTTGCATCTACGTCTCATCCTTTGCATGGTCATGGGGGCCGCTGGGATGGCTCATTCCCAGCGAGATCTTCACACTGGAGACGCGGTCCGTCGGCCAGGGAATCAATGTGGCTGTCAACTTCCTCTTCACCTTCGTCATTGCGCAAGCTTTCCTCGCAATGCTATGCCACATGACGTACGGGATCTTCTTGTTCTTCGCAGCTTGGGTGTTGGTCATGTCCCTCTTCGTCTACTTCTTTCTTCCCGAGACCAAGAGTGTTCCTATCGAGGAGATGACCAGCGTTTGGAGGAGGCACTGGTATTGGAAGAGGTTCGTTCCAGACGAGGATCCTCCAGCTCTTCCTTCCTATAAGCGAGATCGGTACTGATCAATCGAGCTAGACGATAAGCGAGGAGCTTTCACTGCCGAGAGGAAAAACTCTCTAGTACCTCTTGGATGTTCTGTCCTCTGTGAAACCAAAACCTTAGATTGATTGTTCGCTTTTGAGTAGAAAAAATTACCACGACGATGGTATCAAGGGGCTTCCTTCCTTGACGAGCAAGAAGACGCGCCCTCCATCGCCACGGGAGATTCGCAGGTCCTCGTCCAAGTAGCCACGACTGGACCGCCGCTTCTTCTTCTTGCAAGCTGGAGTCCAAATGTGCTTCTCTAGATCGATCGAAGTTCTCACTCTTCCATTCTAAATCCATAGGTGGTGGTGGCGGTGATCTTGGGCGTCAAGTTTGGAGGAACCAAAGAGCTGGATAAAGTTTACGCTGTGATCGTCGTGATCGTGATATGCTGCTACGTCTCTGCCTTTGCCTGGTCTTGGGGACCCTTTCGTTCCCAGCGAGATTTTCCCACTGGAGACGCGATCGGCCGGGCAAGCGATAATCTCTTCTTCACCTTCGTCATCGCGCAGGCGTTCCTCAGCATGTGCCATATGAAGTTCGGGATCTTCCTGTTCTTCGCGGCCTGGGTGGCGATCATGTCAGTCTTCTCTTCTGATTCATACCCGAGACCAAGAACGTTAGATGATGGGTGTGTGGAGAAAGCACTGTCTTTGGAGGAGGATTGTCCCGGACCAAGATCCTCCGGTTATCCCATACAAGCAGGATGATGAAAGCAAGATGGGCGTAGAGATGACAAACTAAAGACCATTGAGCGAGAACTATAGGACTAAGTACGATGAAGACGAAAAACTGTAAAAATCTATCACTCTCAACTTTACGGCTAAGACCAACACTCGAGAATTCGCGGCCGCGGTCACGGCGAGACAAAGAAGCATTCAATTCTGCCGTGCTCGTCGTGATCGTGATTTGCATCTACGTCTCATCCTTTGCATGGTCATGGGGGACGCTGGGATGGCTCATTCCCAGCGAGATCTTCACACTGGAGACGCGGTCCGTCGGCCAGGGAATCAATGTGGCTGTCAACTTCCTCTTCACCTTCGTCATTGCGCAAGCTTTCCTCGCAATGCTATGCCACATGATGTCCGTCTTGTTCTTCGCAGCTTGGGTGTTGGTCATGTCCCTCTTCGTCTACTTCTTTCTTCCCGAGACCAAGAGTGTTCCCATCGAGAAGATGACCAGCGTTTGGAGGAGGCACTAGTATTGGAAGAGGTTCGTTCCAGACGAGGATCCTCCAGATAAGCGAGATCGGTATCCGGCAGAGGACTGATCAGTCGAGCTAGACGATCAGCGAGGAGCTTTCAGTGCCGAGAGGAAAAACTGTCTAGTACCTCTTGGAAGGAAAAGCAACTCTTCTGTTCTCTCTGAAACCAAAACCTTATATTGATTGTAAGCTTTTGAGTAGAAAAAATTACCACGACGATGGTATCAAGGGGCTGCCTTCCTTGACGAGCAAGAAGACGCCCCCTCCATCGCCACGGGAGATGCGCAGGTCCTCGTCCAAGTAAGTGGTAAGCAGCCACGACTGGGCTTTGTTGCCTGGTATCGAAAACTTAAGAGGTGGCTGACCTGAGAGTGTGCGCGCCACCGAGTTCGCAGCGTCTTGCAGGGGACGAAGAGCGTCTTGAGCTGGTGTGAGATCGATTTTACGTCCCATGAAGTCGACGGTGTCGGGGAGTTCAACGGAATCTGTGAGCTGCGGTGTTCCAATCACTCCTTCCTCGAATTTAATCTGCGTTAAAGAGGAAGAACTTGTTAGTTATGAAACATGTATGCAGCGTAGAAGAAAACCAGGCTCCAAGTTTTCTAAGCCAGTTATCGCTTCTAAACGCTACACTCTCTCTTGAGCAACCTATTGTGGCTTCTGCTGAGTGGCTTCCCAAGCAGAAGTGTATCTCTGTTGCTCGTCAAGGTCTAACCAAACCAGACAAATCACGAACACTAAGAAACAATGATCTTACTTGCACGCGCTTTGGACTCCTGACTTCGAACGAAGCTGATGCGCTAAACGATGTGGTTGCCAAAGGACCCACAAAACTCACAGAATTTTGGACTGTCAGTGCGTTGGAATCAACAGTCTGGGAGATCTCTCCAACTTTTACCAGCGGCAAAGTTCCCGCTGCTAAGAGAGGAAAGAGCTCCGAGAAAGAAGTGTATCTAGAATCAGATGAAAATCTTAGTCGACCAAGAGGCAAGAGCAAAGAGAGAGAGAGAAAAGAGGAAGAACTAAAAGGACTTACGCGAGGATCCATTTGCCATTGAGCACGGCCAATGCTTCGGTCGGAGCTGGAGTTGGATTCTTAGCTTCTAGCTGAGTGATGAGCTCATTCACCTCGGCTCTAGTCTCGCTGCTAGCTTTAAGACCTCGCTCTGTTCCATACAAAGAATCCAGCAGCGCCTTCTTAAGCCCCTCTGTATCGCCATCCTTCTCTTTCTCGTCGGACACCGCAGTTCCTACTCCATTCCCTGCCTTGCTCGCCTTCTTCTCAGCGGCACCCTCGCCCCATTCGTCGTTCCCATCCGACGCCAAAGCCTGCAATCTGTGCCTGGCACCCAGAGACAACCTAGTAGCAGTGGCAATTGACCTGATCGAAGGGCCGCTGTGGAGGAAATGCGCGCTGGCGCGCTCGCGGGACGGCGATGGGCATGCGTTCGCAACGCCGAGCCTCGGGAACGCCTCGGAAGAGATCGCCGCCATGATCTGTGTGATCAAGCCAATTGGTTCTTTCAATGCCACGTATGTGAAAACCCTGTCTAATATCTCGTGGTTACTCTGTCCAATCGTAGGAATATAACACGTTTTGTCAGACAATAGAATATTCTTTCTTTTTTATCGAAAAAGCATCAACTTTTTTTCCCACGAATAGTGTTTTGAAAGGATCATAGCAGCAAATACATTTATTGAAAGGTATCTTCACCACTTGATTTAAAAGATAAAGTTTTAGTTTTTATGATAATGTAAAATCATATATTTTCATATGTGATTAATATCTATATTCTAAAAATTACTCCCGAGAATATCTTGTATTTATTTTAATTGCTATCTCAAAATAAAAATCTAGGAAAGGAATTACTGAGTGCTCAGCTGAGACCATAGAAAATCTAATCTAACTCTCTCTACTCACTCAGGCCTTTTGAGTCCCTGTTCATAAATTCCTCTGAACTGAGGTTTAGAGTAGTTTACATATAACACTCTATCATTTAATCCTTAAAAGTAAGCTTCCTCTTCAAGCACAAGAAACCATTAACCTATAGTATGTTCATGTTGAATGTCAAACATATCAATGAACAAGACTTGTAAGTTTCAGCTTTCATCTTCTAGTGGTGTATATGAAATTGCCATATTAGTAAACAGGTCCACTTCTTAGCCACATGACATTTATTAATGACCATTTTAGGAATATCTTATATACCAAAGTTAAGAGTTAAACATTTGATGAACCAATCACCTATAAATAATCCATTAAATACTTAAAATCTTTGTCTTTTATAGTGTATTAAATACTTACTAAAATTAAGGGGTTTGAATTAATAATTTAAGAATCTTTAAAAAGTACAATGAATTAAGTTTATTTAAATCATGGCACAACATAACTTCATCCACTAAAGCTGAAATGCCCTTGGAATTGTTATTGTTGTCATATGCCTATATGGCTAGGCAACAATTGGGATATGTGTTATTTTTCAAGTATTAAATAAAGTTTTTCTCAATTGAGATATAATTGTGGAGTTTCATCACCATTGCCAAAAAATCTCCTCAAAAATGCAATTAACATGAAAAATACAAAGGGATTGAGAGGAAATGTAATGCTTACCAATTTATTCTAGTAGTGATGTTTATAATCAGCAACTTTATTAATATAATGTGCATTATACCATATAATTCACAATGGATGGATGCAATTCACATTCTAGCACTTCAATTTGAAGGTGATGTTCATGGAATACAGGAATTTTACAAGAAAACATGTTAATTATTAATTTTATAAAGACCAATGTACAATAAGTTTTATTTGGAAAAGGTTTTAAATATATAAAACCATTTATTAATCACTAGGCTTACTAAGCTTTAACAGTGATGATGTAAAGTTAGTTAGTTTTACAAATGGATTGAAAATGTATGTTGAGAATCTAATTAGTAATAAATAAAATTTATCACTAATCACATAGAATGAATTTACATCCCACCTAAAAAAGACTATCCACTAAATACTTTTGAACAAGTAATTTTTTGTTATTATATAGATCATATTTAACAAATGATAAGTATTGTTTCCAAAAGTAAAATGTTATATAAGATTTAAAAATAATTAATAAATCTAAATAAACTTAAAGTAAACTATATAGTAATAATTATATATAATAGTTTTTTTTTAGGATATTAGATTCCCGCCACAGCTTAAATGTTGAAATGAGGAATTAGGGTTTACATAGGGTATGGCGTCATGGAGGCTTCCCCAGGGGCGCGCGGTGGATTCGGTGCGATGGCTGCCATCGTCGGCGGCGGCCTGGGACCGAATGCTGGTGTCAACCCTGTTTGATCCAGAGACAGGCAAGCCTAGCCTAGAGCTTAATGCCCTGGGCAGCAAAGATTCCACCGAGGGAAGGCCATGGCTGGATTTGCGAGGCGAGTGGGAGCTGCCCGGACGAGTCTCGGCCCTCGCCACCGCTGCATTGCAAGGGGAGAATTTCCTTGCGGTGGCGGGCAGCATCGAGGGGTCCGTGACAGTGGTACCAGTGGATGCCGTGCAAGTGACTACGTCGGAGCTTCTAGACAAGGAGCCTCTCGTTCTTTCCGGTTTGCACGAGGCTAGCGTCTGCGCTGTGGACGTCCTGGACGATTCCGGGGACTGCTTGGCCGTGGGGGAGGATGGAAAGATTAGCGTAGTGAAGATCTCCGAGTCCGAGCTTCTTCCCAAGCGTGTTCACGACAGTCATGGCCATGTCTCCTTCTCTGCCGCGCATTGGGCTTCGTCTATGGAGTTCGTGACCGCCGGAGTGGGAGCTCCATTGCAGTGGTGGGATCTTCGTAAACCGGGTGGAGCTGTCTCGCAATGCCGCTTGAAATGGTGGGGGATCTAAAGCTCTCATTGCCTTCCTTCGCTTATAAACTTTCGCTTCACAGGGACGGTTCTTCACCGGGATTCGTTCACTCTCTGGACGTCCATCCCTCTCGGAAGCATCTCTGCGTGGTGCGTTAGCTTGTTTTGTTTCATTTTTTTCTGGATCCTTAATAGTTCTTGTTGTCAAGGTCGGAGGCTCTGGAGGATCCATCTTCGCTTGGGACCTTCGATGGCAAAGAGATGCCGTGAAGCTAGCGGGTGTTTCTGCGAGTAAATCGGCGATTGTAGAGAGCGAGGTCTGGGAAGTCAAGTACGACCATGCGTCTACGATTTCGTCTTCATCGGACTCTGGAAAGGTCCCTCCAGTTATGTTTTGCTCGGAAGATGGTGTTCTAGCAACCATTGAAGGAGGTAAGCGTTTTTTCTGTCGTGCAAGCTTTGATATGGATGCTTAAAAATCCTTGGTGCAGGCAATGTTACCGAGCTTCTCGCGGAGCCTTGCGCCATCAATTCTTTCGATGTTGATTGCGAGAATGGAAAGGTAAGGCGTGAATTTCTCGAGACAAGCTTACTAGTTTATATGATTTATTGATGCAGGACATTGTGTGTGGCTTGGAACATGAAAGCATTCTTTTTTTGAAGAGACGAATATGAGAATCAATACCGATGAAGTTGTTCATGTAGCTCTAAACAACAAATATTCCTTTAATAAGATACATTACCTTTTATTTAGAAGGTATATTAACTGATTAAAGGGTATACTTGAATATATAAAGGACAAATAGAATAAAAAAATCTTAGGGCAATGGTTCCAGAATGGCTAGAGACGTTTTTGCAGAGAGATTTCTTCTCAAAGTGTTTAAAACACTGCCATGGCCAATCCATCACAGATCGTCAGTCAGCGTTTTGCATTGGTTGTCGTGCAGTACTCTGTGAATCAGAAGTGTCCAATCACAATTGCGATAATGGACGCATTCTGCTATTGCGATGGCACCATAAAGAAGCTAGGGTTGTTCGAGAGCATATCGCACAGTTTTACAATGTGGATCACGTTGACGGCAGCAAAAAAAAAGGTGAAGATCTTATCCGTCTCAAGAGCTGTCCGTCTCCCCGTGGGATCAAGGGATGTTACTGCGGC